AGGGAACAGGTCTCCCTGCAGGGAAGAAACAGACCATAAGGAAGATCAACCCAGCTGGACTTGAAATAGCTTCCAGGGAAGAACCTGAGCAGTTTCTAAACATTTTAAAATATAATCTAAAACGACAGTATACTTACCTTGTTCAAAAGTCAGAATGTAAAATATATAGAGTGGAAAAGCTCTTTCTCATCTTTGCCACCCACTGCAATTTTGACCCTCGACCCTTGCCCTCGCTTCCAAGAGACAACTTGGCCTCCCAAAGTGCTGGGATTATAGGCGTGAGCCACTGCGTCCAGCCTGGAAAAGTTTTTGAAACTTATTTTTCAAAACAAAAATGTGGTTTGAAAATACCCACATGGGTAAAACTACGTAATGAGAAAGCTCTCTGTCCTCTAGAGAGGGAGTGGAGAGTACAAGTGCTTGGCTAGCATTCTCTGGAATGCTGTCTTTTCAAGAAACCACCTTCTGCTACCTTAAAAACAAAAGGAGGTTTAACAGAATGCAAATGGAAGTGAAAATGGGAGAGGCACAGATGAGAAGCCAGCAGAACTTGGTGAGTAAGTGACCACCCAAACCAAGGGAGGAATCAGTGATGACCGAGTGACAAGGTTGTGAAGGGAGCCAGAGAGGTTAAAACAGAGAGAAAAAAATAACTGGTTGGTGATGGAGGGAGGATGAGAAATTTAACTTGGGAAATATCATATGTTGCCTTATTAACCAGAATTTCTAGAAATTTACAGAGAAATTTACCTTACAATTGGATAGTTTTTCTTGGCAAATTGAGAGTTTAATTAGTTTAGTATTTTATTACTAGGGATCATGTTCAGTTTTACATGAGGTTTTGGGATGGAAGAATGCTATAAAATGTCAGGACTCTGTTTATATTCAGTTCAGTAGAGAATAAACCACATTCAAGTGCCAGCATGTTTATTGCAGCCAGCACTCAGTGTTTCTTTGCTTTCTAAATGCTGATTTAGTGTTTTCATTGGTGGTGCAAGTGTGAAGAGAGACTTGAGCATGAATCATAGGAAGAGAGACGTAGATGCTCATTCTGCAGGCCTAGGACCCAGTGAGTGCCGCAGCTGTGCTGCTCACGGCTAGTGGTGGGATTCTGGGCATGCCTTTCAGCCTCCTTGGATGGCCTTGTTTTCCTCACTTGTGAAATGAGGTTAGATGGTATTGGCGGTCTTACCAACACCCAAGTTATCTGATGCTAAGAGAAATTAGAGGACAATCTTCTTTTTTTGCTTCTAACAATAACATTTTTACACAATTTATACTTAAAACATAGAAACAAGTACTACATGATAGAAAGGCCTACCTTCCCACACTTACCTTTTGTGCAGCCCATTTGAGTGGGTAACCTGAATGGCAGCTGTGATGATGACAGACCTGAGCAGTCTCTGCCCCAGTGCTGGCCCTCAGCAGCAGCTGTTCACACTGCTTAACTCATCACTGTACCTGGCCTCAGGAGGTCTTTTGCCTTTCTATTAAATAGAAACGTGTTCTTTCTGTTTTCCATACAGTTTACTATTTGTGCTTTCTGTCTGGTGAATCATGGATGCTTTTGCGATATGATATGAAGAGAAAAAAGCCAGCAGACATAGGCTTATATCCCAGCATTCTGCTGAACAGATACGTTAACTTTATGGAGCTGGGTTTCCGCATCTGTAATCCAAGGATAATGATGCCCACCTCCCAGGGTTTTGGCGAGGACTGAGTGGACCACAGTGAGAGCACCATGCACACTGTGGACATCTCCAGGTGCTTAGCAGCAGGATTTCCCCAGCCTTGTCTAGACATGGACCATGCAAGGCCATGTCTAGACAAGGTTGGGGAAATCCTGTGCCATGCAAGGCCTCCATTATGTGAGAAGTGAGTCTGACCATCCGCTGTCTCTGTTAGAACATCTGGAAAATGCTTCTGAGCATATTGTTTATCTCAGTCACCGAGTCTCCTGGAATAATTCCTTCTCAGCCTGCCTTCCTCCCTGCTTCACCAATGACTCTTTCCTCTTTGAAGAAGAGGAGAGAGAGAAAGAAGAGTAAGTTAAATAGAGGAGGGGGAAGCTCTGATTAGCACCATGGTTTAGGGAGGCCATTGAAAGAGTTAGCATGGGTGGGATTCAGCATATGGAGGAGGGTACAGAGAGGACTGATGGGAAGAGAGAAAGGTTGAACAGAAAGAAAATGAAATTAATCTTGGCAGCCATGGCATTAAGCACTAGGGATTAGGGAATGTCCTGGGAATGCCAAAGCATAAAGGCCAAGGTGTTTTGTAGACATTTCCAGTTCTGTCTGAAGCTGTAGAATTAGATAAAATAAACAAATGAAAGTGTCTTTTTTTTTTTGCAGACACAAATGTCATCACTGTTTTGATGATTTGTTGAATGTGCTGCTGATAAGGATGTGGGTAGCTATAAAGGAAACATTTTTCTTGGGGTATGTGACAAGCAGTGGATGAAACTAGGCCAGTGAGAGCATGTGTGTCTAGAGATTGTTCTGGGAGGGTAGGGGTTAGGCCTCATGGCCTCTCCTCTCAGCCCTGCCCTATTGTGCAGGGTCCTGTTGAATATGCTGCTTAACCTCTCTGCTCTGACACTCACTTTGGAAACTGGGATTGCCACCCACTTTCTCTGGGTGTGGGGAGAGTGAAATGATGTAAGTGATAGTCTCTTGCTCTGAGATGCTGAGATAATGTGGAGCACACACACACGGAAGAGAAGGATCTGATTTTCTCATGGCCGCCATCATGTGTTTGCAGAGAGATAGAGAAGTACCAGATAAGATGGCCGCAGACTTCCCTAATGACAGCTTATTTGCTGTTATTGTGACACTCCAGAGTGCCTCCATAACTGGCAGTGCCAGTTGCACTCTCAGGGGCTGGGGGTTAGGGGTTGGGGTACAGATTACCCCTGTGCTTCTGCTGCAGAGCTGTGCTCACCAAGAAAGAGGCCAAGAGCCACCTATATTCCTGACCACAAATTGCTTTCACAAAGCTGGGTCTGGACAGATTCTTCAGCCACTAGGCCACCAGGCAGGGCTCCTAGGGCTGGAAGTTCTGGCTGCCTGCTCTCTCCTCCTTGCTTTGAAGCATGGGTGATGCATTCACATTGGGCGACCATCACAATGTTGATCCCTGAACCTACCTAGAGTGTCTTAATTCACAAGTCCTATGGAAGCATGGAAGTGCTGTGCGCAGTCATATCTACAAAGAGATATTAGCTTTTTTTTTTTTATTCTGTAAGGTTTGACTGCTTCACAAATACTTACTTGAGACTCTCCCTGCTCTGTAGCCTATGTCTGTGACTCTTCTTTCTTCCCAAATATAGTAGGATAAGCAGGATGCTAACTGCTGGGACTGGTTTAAACAGCACACTTTGAATAGATCGGGCGACATCCTGGGCACTCTAGTCTCAAGTGAGAGAAAAGGATGTCTTAGGGAAATGCCTGTGCAGATGCTCTGCTTTTTGTTCTCCTGTTTTTGGAGAGCTCTCTCCAAAACCAGGAGTTTCCTGCTGGGTGTAGTGGTGCCCACTGGATACATGAGGCTCCCATGTGCAGCCTCCTCTGCCCTTACCTCGTGTTGGCACCTTGCTGGTGCCTCCCCGACTGGGCCTACAGCATGTGTAAGGATGGCAGTTGTTTTCACGTAGGACTGCAGGATTCTTCCTCCAGCCTTCTCTTCCTGCAGCCTCACTGCACTGCCCCATCCTCCCCCAGCAGAACTGGAAAGAGTGGTTTCTGGTGACCACCTAGCCATGCGGCCACGACTGAGGTCACATTTTAGGGAAATGTGAGAGGCCTGTTCCTCTGTTTAGATGCAGTATTTCTGCTCTTTGTAACTTACCCTTGGAATTGCCAGTGAGTCACAGCCTGGGAAGTCCTTGTGATTTAGAGTCCTGCACTTCCAGGAAGAGCTTTCGCTTGACATCTTCTTTGACCCTTAGTCCCCGATGAAGTTTACATGGCATGAAAGACCAGTCAGAATTTGGGGAGATAACCCAAAAGAACACAAAAATATGGTTTCTAAGGTATAAGTGTCATATCACTCTGAGTTAGTCACATGATAATGTAGGCCAAAGACAATAAGAAATGTAGAGATATGTTTGTAAACTGGTGTTGATTTGGTATCTCTTTTGGCCTCCTTCCCAAATTAGTATTGGGCATTTGATTTTAATTTAGGTCAGTAATAATGCTCATTACTGCTTGAGAACTCTATGTGCATCAGGCAATATGTTAATTTGCTTCACGTGGTTCTCTTTAAATCTTAATAGCAATTCTGTGAATTTGATGATGTTATTCTCATCTTAAGAAGTGCAAAATTGATTGCTCAGGGGTGTTAAATAACTTGCACATCTACATAACCAGAAAGTGGCATAAAGAGACTGTGAACCAGGCCTTGGAGAGTTTGTCTATCTTCCACTTTTTTTTGCCAGGTGCCTGGTACATTCAAGGCAGAGTGTTATTGTTACAGAGTATAAAAATAAAATCAAGAAGCTTACCATATAGAGAGAGTAAGATAGATAAACAACCAAAGATAATATAAGGACAGCTGTGATAGATACCAAAAGTGTTACCAAGAAAGGTCAACCAAGGTGCAGTAGGGGCTAAAGGAAGAGGTTGAGATCATACATACCTAATTGGGGTCACCCAGGAAAAGCCTTCTTAGAAGTGGTGCACTTGAGGTGGATCTCATAGAACTGGCAGAATCTTACTTGGGGGAGTGGATAAGGAAAGATTTGTGGGTGGCAGTGACTGCTAAATGCCCAGGTAAATAAACAGGCTCCTAAAGAAACTATTAGATTGTGTATATGCATGTATGTGTGTGTGTATGTGTATGTGTATGTGTACGGGTGTATTGTGTATGCCTGGATACACTCATGCTTACATTCATTATGAAAACCTTATATACTCTTCCAAAGCAAAAGACTAATGATTTCAAGTAGCAGCGTTGTCCAAACTGTGTTCTCTAGTTCTCCTGAGAACAGAAACACCTCTGAGCAATACGTATTATTAATAGATGTTCATGTTTATACAAGTAGGAATGAGGTGTTTTTTTAATTTTCTTTTTTTCAGGCATCTGCGAATGGGGCCTCTCCCTGTTTTTTTTAGTTTTTTTTTTTTTTTTTCAAAGTATCTGTTTCTTTTTTCTAGCATGTTGAAACGTTAGACTTCCCGTTTCTGCTTGATTTTGAATATACTCCTGTTTGCTTGTCACAGGTAATCTTGCATTTCTAGGTAGTTGTAGTTTACAGGGAGCAAGTGCAGGCAGCAACCAGTCCATCCCTGTTGTGAATGTGGAGATCTCTCTGGACTCACAATTAAAGTCTACATAGTGCATTCCACTACAAGTGACGAAACCTGGCTCCCAGAATAACAAGCAAGACAACTCTCAAAGTGACTGTTGACCAGCGCCTTCTGTGCGTTTATGTAGTAAACTTATGGTACATTTTTCAAAAGGATAGTATATATTATTTTGAATTATTCTTGAGAAGGACTGAGTCTCCCCGAAGGTGATGCAGGTGCCGTAGTGTACACGTCAACAGGGTGGTTGCGTGCATTCCTCAAGTCTGTATGACTACCAAGATACTGTGAAGTTGTCCTTCTGATTGTATACGGGCAGAAAATGCTGAAACTAGGTGAGTTAAAACGGCCCTCAGAATATGTTTAGATGTGATGTCTTTGTTGAAATCTGATAAAATGTTCAGATGACTAACATGGTATTGCTTTCTTCAAGGAAATAATGTTTGGTCGTGGCTTTAGAGCTACTGTGTTCAACAAATCACTATTTTGTTTTGCTGTGGCTCTGGGTTTGAGGAACCAGTGTTAAGCTGAGGGAGGTATGAGTACTGTGGGTGGAAAAATGGCATTTCAAGTTTGCATGTAGCAGTTTCATTTGTAAAAGATAAAGGTTTGAAATGTTTCAGAGATGGGACTCTGAAAAGTTTGGATGGCTTTTTCACCCAGAGTTTCTCTTTTACATTTTCCATGCATTTATTAACTGTAGGACACCTCTGGTTCCCAGTGGTCTGGTAGCAGTGGTAACACCGTGGGGCAACCCGTAAACACAAGGGTGTTTATTTCTATTATCTCATTGGATAATTGTTTGAATATTGCTGTTACCATTTTCTCTTAACAACCAAAAAAAAAAAAAACAAAAAACTTACCTTACATATAAAGCATTTTGTACTTTTAAAATAACACCCTAGGTTTGTTTTTAGCCATACTTAATGTTTCACAAGTAGACTTAATTTTATTTTTAAAGTAAATTGAAAAAGTTATCAAGGATTGGAATAGAGTGTTTTAAATAGCCCTTAAAGTTATATTGGCATATATACACTTTTGTTCAAGTTGATGTATAATATTTGCTTAGGTTTACTTAAAATTGGTCTGCTCAACAGATTTTTTGGAGCGTAAATTTAATACTAGGAAAAAACTAGAACTTGGAAGACATAGGCGGGTGTTGGTATATCTAGTCTTTTGGTCCATTATTGAACCCTTGGCAGCCAATAAATATTATTTCATAGAGTCCTGACTTCTCTTGTATAGAATGTGGTCACCTGCATATCATTCATAGTAAATGTACGTTCGTCTACTAGATGCCTAGAGCTGTGCATGTAATCCTGTCGTGTGTGTGTGTGTGTCTGTGTGTGTTTGTGTGTGTGTGTGTGTGTGTGTGTGTGTGTGTATACTCGAGAGTCTGAGGCAGGAGAATCGCTTGAACCCAGGAGGCGGAGATTTCAGTGAGCCGAGAATCGTGCCACTGCACTCCAGCCTGGCGACAGAGTGAGACTCCGTCTCAAAAAAAAAAAAAAAAAATGGTTATGTGTCTGTGACTGTATGTCATTGCATATATACAGTTGAGATCAGAGCCAGCTTTGCTTGGGAGGGTTTTGTGGAAGAAATGAGTTTTGGGTAGAGTTCCAAAGGGAGGGTAGGTAGTGTACTTTGGCAGAAAGACGTGTACATAAAGCTTCCAAGGCTGGAGTGATTAAGTCATAAGCATTCAAGGGTAAGCATGAACCATTTGAGAACCAACTGTAAATTAGTGGTTGAAAATAGCCAGGCTAGAAGTGAAGGGGAGGCAAGGTTGTGCATGCCGAGCTGAGAACCGTAGTGGCAGATTGGCGCGTAGGAGCTTGTGTATTCTGTTCCTGGTAAATTTCACTCTTGGATATTAGCACATCCTGACCATGTTGCCATCTAGTGGAACTGGCTGAATTGGCTGTGGGAGCATCACCACCTTTTCCCACTTCAGGATAAACTCTAGTGTGATATTTTGGCAATAGGGAAACTTACTTCTCTTTTACCTAGGGATTTTAAATGAAGAGTGAGAGAGAGGAGGTGGGTGTAACTATGCTCTCCCCGGATGACATTAATTTAGATTCTGGAAATGTGGAGCTGAATGCTAATATAAGGAATTTCTCATAGACAATGTCTGGAGTCCAGGGTATGACTGCTGAGAGTGCTGGGTGTACATGTCCATCAGCTTAAGGCATGGAGCGAGCAGGAAGCGGTGCTTGGGAGGTTCTGCAGTGGAGTGAAAGCATACCGCATCTGGCTCTGGGCCCTTTATGTTTCACCTGGGCCGGCTTGTTTTTGTCATGTGGTTACAGAGTCCATCCCAGTGGCAGAGAGAGCCCTCTGACCATAAGCACCACAGCCCACAGACCCCAGAGTGAAGACACTATAAAGGTCTGTAATCCTTCTGCCCTCCCTTCTAGCCATCCATGGACGTATCTATTCAGCAAATACTTCTTGAATTATGTCCCAGGCACCTTCCAGGAACTAAGGCAGTGAACAAAGCAGATAGAAATCCCTGCTTTTGGAGAGCTGATATTCTAGGTGGGGACAATAAACATCAACAAAATAAATAAGTAAAATATATAGTAAGTGGAGAACCAAGTGCTAAGTAGAAAAAAGTATTTTCAAGCTGAAGAGGGAAATAGGGGTTGTTGCAGCGGGTGAGGGGGTAGAGGCAGGTAATTGTGGTTGCAATTGTGAATG